AAGTTGTAGATCTTTTTATTACCTACAACTTTGCCATTTAACTTTTTTCCATAAGACTTGTAATTTTTCCGGAAATCAAGGGAAACCGTTTTTTACCCTTAACAACTCACCCCCTTCCCCTTCCCGACCTCAGATCGCCCGTAAATTATTTTTCCTTTCATTTCTGTTATATTCTCTTTCTTTTCCAATGGGTTTCATCCTACAATAATTTTTTTGGTTTCAAAAATTATCGACCCTGGTCTATAAATGATTACATCACTTGTTATTGGTAAAATGTGTTATTTAATTTTAAAACTCACTTCCAGTAATATTACTTCGCACTACTATGCAGGTAATTGTGACTGGGAAATAAGCTTATTCAAAGATTAAGAATAACGAACTTACCAAAGTGTGGTTAGTAACTAAAATCGTAACAGTGAAGTTTTTGCTGGTGTCCAGGATGGAAAGGCTTCCGTCGTCCGCTTGGAAAACGAAGTGGGTGGGGGAGATCCACGAGGAAGGCAGCCTTTTTGGTGTTATGTCGCTCTGAAATAGAGACAAATGTAATTGCTACTTGGAAGAAATAGTAGGCTTTTAAATTACTTCCTGCGCCAATGATATTAGGTGGGAAAAGTTATTGCGGTTTTTTGCAAGTGGAAATTTATGGAGAATTTCGGTACTGAGTTAAATAAAACTCTACAAACAAATGAAAGCTACATAGAAGTGGCGCTGTGATTTAATTGTTTGTTGGTACTTGAATAATTATCTCTGTACAAGTAGAGTTTGCTTAAAAACTATTCGTAAGCATAAAGGTTTGGATTAGGCATAGCATATTTTTTTAATTTTTACACTTGTAGGTGACGCAGGACGCTGTTATTTAAACAAATTCATAAACATCGCATACAGGGTGTTCCACCTAAGAGGGGTCCTCTTGTAACTCTGCAAATGTAAAATTTATAAAAAATGGCTTTAATAAAAGTTGCCTGGAATTATGTGGGCCATGTAAATAACATATCTTTTGCTTTACAGGGTGTTCCATTTCGCGTGGGCGCTACACAACTTTGTTAATTTAAATGGAACACCCTTTAATTATTACATTTTTTGAATTCCTTGGTTAATATTAGGTAGAGTTTATTAAATGTACATGATGTTTAAAAATTACGGTTTTCGAAACAATCAGTTGTTTTTGAAAAAAATCACAATTTCAGCTGTCTAAATGAGGTTAGATAGCATCTAAACCGTAAGAGTTAGAAACCTGCAGTTTCACAGTTCGTTTTGGCATAAATCACTCCATCTTGTCATCTCTGAGCAAGACGTGTACGTTATTCAGACTCGGAAATACTGAGAGCTACATTTAATAATCTTACGAGTTGAAAAACTTTTTTTTTTTCAAATGGAACGACCAATATTAATTGTCATGGGTGAATGCAAAATTGAATGCCCTTTGACTGATAAAAGGTTGTCCATACTTATCTTTAACAGTTTTCCAGAAAAATCATTTTCTTTTCTAAAGTCCGAAAAAGTAGCGCTATGTAACAACGTCAAGAAGGCCTTGCAAAACTATTTTTCTCTCACATTTTATCAGTCCTGGGACTGACAGTGTCAATAGTTACTGGCATGTTTAAAAAGTTTGACAAACAAAAGTAAACCACTAACAACAACTAAAACAAAACGCAAAACGAAACAAACGGAAACTCGGAACACAAGGAGAATAATACTTAGACCGCTGATTTACAACGAAGTGTCCTCTATTTTGATTAATACACAAACGAATTCGGTTTTTAAAAGACCGTTTAACATGTCTTGAAATGTGTAACAAAAGCCGGGACGCGCAGACATTTATTTATTAGTTCTCGGAACGATGGGCCAAGTAAAATATTCTTGTCAACACAAATTATCGAAAGTTGAGGGTTTCAAGTTGGTAACGTCGCCAAGACCGTCCTTCGGGAAAGGTCACCCGAAATTTAGCAATATTTTTAACAAGTTTACTTAAACTGTCGGGGCCATGTGTTAAGCGTCTAGTACACGAAAGAAACCGATGTTTTTAATAGGTAACGCGCGAAACAGCGAGAAGAGCGTAGGGATTCCAAGTAGAATCAAATTAAAAAAATTGTAAATTGATAGTAATTCGAAAAGTCATGGCTGGTTTTTCGGCGGATTTTCCAAGCTATTAAAAATATATTAAATGACTTTGACTAATCCGCCCCGTATTTGCTACACGGAGTCACTAAGGGAAGGCTAGGGTTAATTATAAGTAAGTTCAGCTTCAGAATTATTGATATAAATGTAAGTCAAGTCANACGAAACAAACGGAAACTCGGAACACAAGGAGAATAATACTTAGACCGCTGATTTACAACGAAGCGTCCTCTATTTTGATTAATACACAAACGAATTCGGTTTTTAAAAGACCGTTTAACATGTCTTGAAATGTGTAATAAAAGCCGGGACGCGCAGTCATTTATTTATTAGTTCTCGGAACGATGGGCCAAGTAAAATATTCTTGTCAACACAAATTATCGAAAGTTGAGGGTTTCAAGTAGGTAACGTCGCCAAGACCGTCCTTCGGGGAAGGCCACCCGAAATTTAGCAATATTTTTAACAAGTTTACTTAAACTGTCGGGGTCATGTGTTAAGCGTCTAGTATACGAGAGAAACCGATGTTTTTAATAGGTAACGCGCGAAACCGCGAGAAGAGAGTAGGGATTCCAAGTAGAATCAAATTTAAAAAATTGTAAATTGATAGTAATTCGAAAAGAGAGTCATGGCTGGTTTTTCGGCGGATTTTCCAAGCTATTAAAAATATATTAAATGACATTGACTAATCCGTCCCGTATTTGCTACACGGAGTCACTAAGGGAAGGCTAGGGTTAATTATAAGTAAGTTCAGCTTCAGAATTATTGATATAAATGTAAGTCAAGTCAATTAGGTAATTATTAACCTAATATAGTTACATCAGCGTCCCGATATTCAGGTTCTCGTCAATAAGACAAGAACCGAAACTTTTGGACCCAAGAAATGGGCGTGTGAAAGCGAGTTGTGGAATTTAGGAAGGATCTCGAAAAAGTCAGTTCTTCCTTGAGTTTCACATTGAGCAGTCTAATTAACTGTAGAGCCTCGGGCTAAATTGATTTAATTTAATAATGGTTAAAGTCTTTTCTAAATTTTGCTATGAAGCGCGCATTCCCTGAATCTCGGTACGCTGTCGCGTGTGTAAATTAATTAATTTGGTAATGTCGTCGAGCCGTTGTGTTGCTATTTTGTTTGTTTGTTTTTTTATTGTTAATAAAACCCTTCCTGGAAGTTCTGGTGTTTCCTTTTGTTTCTCCAACTTCAGTGTCACCCTCTTTAGCCAGCCACTAGATTACATTTCACATAAGCGATGAATGGTAAGTGCTTGGAAGTAATTCTCTGAACATACAACATTTCTAAGTTCCCACGTGTTAATTAAAGTATAATTATAATAAACTCCTTTTCGAGATTTGAATAGATAATTAATGAAAGGTAGATAATTAAAGAAATTACCCCTCAGGTTAAAAATGCTGCTGTAATGCGCTGCCACATATCTTCCGCGGTAGTTAGTGGTGTAACGTAAACTTTAGTTCTTACAAATCCCCATAAAAAGAAGTAGCAACTTGTCATATCTGGACACCTTGAAGGCCAGCTCACTGGTCCCCCGCGCCCAATCCATCTATTGAGAAAAGTTTCGTGTAGAAACTGAAGAACCGCAGCGGTATTGTGAGGTGGAGCACCATCATGTTGCATCCACATTCTTCGAAGTGTAGCTAAAGGAATGTCGCCTAATAAATCTTCTAGGGTGTTTGTTAAAAAGTTTAAATAAACTGCTCCAGTTAGATGTTGGTCCCCACACGTTCAAAGACCATCGTTGGCTATGAGTTGTCCGGAATTGGTGAGGATTTACTATGTCATAATAATGACAATTATGACTATTAACGAAACCATTTTTATGAAAAGCAACCTCATCGGAGAACATGGCCCGTTTAAAAAAATTATCATCTTGATTTAACATCTCAATTGCCCACTGACAAAACTCCAGCCTCCGCTGAAAGTCTACTTTTAGTAACTCTTGGTGTAATTGGATGCGATAACGATGTGCTGTGGTGTTTTTGTATAATCCTATGTATCGACGTTGTGCTAATACAATTTGCAAGACCTTCTTGACGCTGTTACATAGTTAACTACTTTTTCGAACTTTAGAAAATAACCTGATTTTTCTGGAAAACTGTTAGAGATTAGTATGGACAACCTTATCTCAGTCGAAAAGGCATTCAATTTTGCATTCACACATGACAATTGGGGGTCATTCAATTAAAAAAAGTTTTTTAACTCGTAAGATTATTAAATGTAGGTCTCAGTACTTCCGAGTCTGAATAATGTGGGTACATGTTTTGCTCACAGATGACAAGATAGAGTAATTTATGCCAAAACGAATTGTGAAATCTGCAGGTTTCCAATTTTTACGGTTTAGACGCTATCTAGCCTCATTTAGAGAGCTGAAATCGTGTTTTTTTTTTTTTAAATAACTGATTATCTCGAAAACGGTAAGTTTTAAACACCATGTACATTTAACAAACTCTACCTAATTTTAACCAAGGTATTCAAAAACGCAATAATATACAGGGTGTTCCATTTAAAATTACAAAGTTATGTAGGGCGCACGCGAAATGGAGCATCCTGTAAAGCTAAAAATATTATTATAAATAAAATATAAAAATATAAATATTCTTTACATGGCCCACATGATTCCATACAACTTTTATTAAAACAATTTTTTTATAAATTTTACAGAAGAATTCATATTAGGTGGAACACCCTGTATATGTACTTTTATTTTATACCTTTTTTGTCACTGTTTTTCAATTTATCAGATATGTCTTTTTAGTAGCAATAATTATATATTACAAAAAAGTATATTTAATAAAAACAGGACGCTTAAAATATTAATCAGAAAAACAATTCGACATGGAATCTAAAACTGAAAAAATAAAATTTAAAAATGAAGGTGTTATCAAAAAACTTAATATTCGTAATTTTTGGGAAAATAATATTAAAAAAGGAGCATGAAAACATTTTAACTGGAATATTCAAAACTATTAACTTTCATTACACTGACATTTCATGATGCGAGTGTAAATCTACAAGTTACTGAATGAATTTCTAACGAAATATCGAACGCAAATATATTCCTCTATTGCTGAATCTTTAGATGGAACTATTTATCGGAATCATAGAATCATGACTTTTATAATAGTTTATAATAGTTAATAACATTTTCTTTGATTGAATTAATTTATTTTACTAAACCTTGAAAATATTTTTCTATTACTAAGAATCATTTTATTGAGTTCTACATACTTCCGTGCATAAAACGAATTGTTAGCAATGTTTACAATAATTTCGTTAAATAAGGCTGTTAGCGCGGGATAAATATAACGTAATGATGACGTTACGTTGCCTGAAATTGAGACAAATGTAGTTGAAGCTTGGATAAAGTTGCAACATGTTTTCTTTATCATAATTACATGTCTAGAATAATAATCAACTGCAGCATCTACCAAGGAAATGACATTCAGAAGTTTATAATGTTCCTCCCAACATTTGTAAAGCACAGTTGTACTTTATCTTTCCCTTTATATTAAATAAACAAAATCAATTTATATGACGAAACAACTATTATCTTAGAAGTATGGGAACAAATCCGGGATGTATGATGAATTCGTACGTACTTGTCTTTGGTACAACGACACTTCTAAAAGAGACGCAATTCTCACTAAGTAATTTCGCAAGTCTGACCATTCTAATTTCCAGATGCGATATTTAAGGAATTTCTCAAATGTTTCCAACTTTATGGCTTGTACTTTCCTAATTTATTTCTAACCTTAACTACGGAATGCTTACTGGATTTCATAAACTTTGCTCGTTATTTACAACTGTACACGGAATTTTTCTTGAACTTAATAAAACCACTACACGTTGTAAAATGTCAATGGGTCTCATATTTTACGCGTCTCCGTATCGCTGAACTTTTTTCGTCAGATATATTGAAAGATTCTTTGTCGATCGATTATTTAATAACTCTGTTACGGGAACGCTTGCGGGAATTGTTTCTGTTTTATTTTTCCTGCTGGTTTGTGACACACCCTCCACCCTCCTGTCCATAAACTTGCGGATGCACTTTACAAAAAGGATTTTTTATTCGAGTTTTAGATAATTTAGTATCACCTTTTTCATATGTATATTTCTAACTTAATAAATGTTTCATCGAACTGTAGACGAGTCTTAAATACATCATTACCAACCAGAAAGTAAGAAACAGTTATTAACGTGGAAGTACTCGTAATCTTATATTTTGACATGGTGTCAAAAAATTGAAGATACATACTTCCTTTGGGAAAGTGGTGATTAGTACACGATATAGTGAGCAGTTTTGCGGTACAGAATAAAATATTCGATGTTGTGATTCTGAACTCTTAAAGAACGTTTGTAACGTCACAAGTTTACAAAAGATAATGTGGCAATTGAAGTGGTTCAAAGTAGGGTAAAAATTGCACCAAAACTCTTTGGTAAAGAGCATTCGCAAGCTTATGGGAAAGTAGATCCTATGAACTAGGAGTACAATGTAGAGGTCTAGAATCCTCGGAGAAATTGAGTGTTGGAAAAAACTCGTTTTTGTTCTAGAAAAATTTAAAAAATTCGGAAAAATTGAGTTTAATTATAATGCAGGATATAAAGGGTTCTAACTATTGTCTTTGTAATTTAAATAACATATTATGCAGTGTTTAGTTTTCTGCACCAACTCAAAAAAGTGGGGTAGGAAATTCTGTTATTTTGATAATGATTACGTAATGTGTAGGAACAAAAAACGTGTTTCTTTAATTTTTCCCAAAACATAGTATTGATTATTTGGAACAGAAACACGGCTGGATGGGTCAACTTGTCAATTTACATGGTACATTGAGTTGTAAAAATTTCTCACAGTATTAATCTTTTTGTCAATATTTGTAAAGTAGGGGTCGATGGTTTAAAAATCCGTAAAAATTTCCATTGATGGAACTGTTAGAATATTTAATTTAATAAATTGATTTTTGCAGTGATCTCTATAACTAAGACTTGAGATACTCCTAATTGCTTTTCTCTGCTGCGCGAACACATCCATAGCAGAAGTAGCATGACACCACACAATAAGTGCATACGATATGTGGGAATGAATACAACCATAATATGCTGTCACTAGAATGTTCACTGAAACCTTACTTGCAGGCTGTAAAGTAAGTACATGTTGTTCGACATTTTTTTGAAAATATAATTAGTATGATGTTCTCAAATCAATTTAGTATCCAGATAAACTCCCAAGAATTTAACCTCAGAGTTAGCCTCATACTCAATCTCTCGCAATGAAAAGATCATAGTCTCGGACTTAGATATATTTAAGCAAAGCTTATTAGCGGTAAACCATTCATTAACAGTTAACTGAGCCTGAGAGATTGTATTAATTAAATCTAAGGGTATTTTACTTCTTACTGACAGACATGTGTCATCAGCAAACAAAATTCCTAGAACATTATTATCCAACGAGTTAAGTAGGTCAGTAATATAGGTTAAAAATAGTATGGGCCCCAATATTGATCCTTGGGGTACCTCGTGTTTAACAGTTTTTAAGTCGGATTTTACATTACTGTAACTCACTAATTGCTGCGTATCTGTCAAGTAAGAACTCAACATCTGCATACTGTCCTCGGTAAACCCATAAAATTGTAGTTTTCTAACAAAAATATTATGAGATACACAATCAAATGCCTTTGTCAAGTCTAAGAACTGTGTAGCTATATATTCACCATTTTCAAAACCTTCATCAATATATGAAATAAGTTTGTTTGTAGCCAATGTGGTAGAGCCATAGAACCATACTGATTTCAATTCACAAAACCATGGGTGTTAAAAAAATACTTAGTAATTTGTATTTTCAATATGATTCATACATTTTTGCAAAATATGGAATTATGGATATGGGTCTAAAATTGGAAGGATCATTTACGTTATTCATTTTATATATTGGTACTACTTTAGCAATTTGTAGAGAGTTTGGAAAAATACTCGACTTGATACTAAGGTTAATTAAGTTGGTAATTTGGATTATTATTGAATTCATTATACTTTTCACTATTTTCGTATTTAGGTTATAAACATCTTCACATTATTCATTTTTTAAAGTCATAATGACATTGGCTACTTTCTAGGGTGTTACCTCCATAAATTGAAATTTATTTTCTCTATTCCGTAAATTACAGGTTACAAGTACGTAAATTTATTATTTCCTCTGATTCCTCGATAATCATAACTAAATTTTTTGTCAAAAGATCTTGAAACCAGAGACTTCAAGAATGGTTTCTTTCTCTCGATACGACCATTTTTCACTGAGATACTGAAAAATTTATGAAATATTTTTGTTCCCTTAATTTTTTCCAGGAGTGCACAATTTCTATAAGAACTCTTGTAACAATGTTTGTTCTTTGAATGAATTTTTTTTGATTCAGAGTGAGTTATAATTAGGTGCAAAAAATTTAAACAAAATATCGTCCGACCGAAATAATAAAATCAACGGTATATGCATAATGTAGTTCAGTACCAAAATGTTTCCTTAAATAGTTCAAAATTTTTTTATTCCTGTGACTCCATTACGTTTCAAGATGTTTCGATACAACTTGGCATAAGGGAGTTTTTGAGATAGCCGAACACGAATATAAATTATTTTTTACCTAATAGAATAGATAAGATTTAGCACAGTCAAAGCAACATTTGAGATTATAAGATCTATTCGGGAACAGGGGTTAATATATTGTTATAGGATTAAATGGGTTAGTGGTGAAAAAAAAAACTATTTCCATGCTTCTCACCTGTAAAAATTCCTCCAACTGCATCCTTTGACCATGCCAATAGAGTAGTTCATCGACGTAACCGACCAAGAATATGGCTGCTACAATCCCAGATATCACCAAACCAATAACGAGTAGAGAGAAAATTATAGACCACCAGTTATGCCCTTCATCTTCATGCAGTGCTAGCTCCTGTCAAAATATACCTAGACAGATGAACCTAATTCTTGCTGTGTATCAAACATTTTTCAGAATTGTCTTTGATTTCAATTTTCAGTTGTTACTTATTTGTTTAATAAAATATTGTAATAATATGAGATTATTATATCTGAAAAATTTTAATTAACTAAATCTCACTCTCGTGGAAATTTTGTTTTAATAACATTTTACTCATGTTTTGGATTCGACTATAAAAGGATTTATAGATTAATTATTGTGCAATAAAAATAACTTCAGTTGTAATAAACACACATGAATGGGGTGCATTTCATTAAATATTTGGAGCATGAAATATTAGAATAAATATAAAATTATGACTAACTGATTTAAATGGAATGGGAATCGTAGGCTTGTGTTCTGCTTTTATTGTAAATACTATAATTCATATATAAATAGAACTAATATAAACAACTTGTAGATCTGTAATGAATCCAATATATCTGTCAATAAAATGTAAAATGTACGTATTAATGTTAATATCGAAAACATGTTTTTGATTTCTTTGTGTTAAAGTTTGATATATGAATGAATTTCAGAGAATTTTTTCAAATAACATAAGTAGTTCTAAAAAACGTATCACGAGTTTTTTTGAAAAACCTAAATTTCAAATTTCCGTATTGGGCCTAGTGGTTTAATTATTAATAAAGATCATATTTTATTGGTAGGTGGATGCAACATGCATTTTCAATAATCAAAACCGTTAAAGCTACAAAAAAAACGCTTAAAACTGAAAATCATCGAATTGATAAAATGTACGATTTGCAGACAGACACGTACTAATCCTTGTAAACAAGGGCAGAATGAAGTTTTTATCGTATCAGTGTGGTAAGTCAGTAGATATCATAAAAAAAAAATTTATTTACAAAAGATGGCTCTGCCAATTGAGTTTTCACACCTTAATATCCTTTACAAGTTTGTAAACGCCCTGTATAATATTCAGAGAGAGAAATATAGAGAGAGGGATATATATATATATAGAAAGAGATAGAAAGAGATAGAGAGAGAGACGGACTAGAGTGGGTTGAAAAAGCAATATCGGATTGATTTGGCTCAGTAACTTGCCTCCTTCAAGATTTTTCATATAAAATATGTCTCGTTCTTGATGAAACACTTTGTATGAATTATTTGCTCAGCAGTCGGAAAGAGAAGTGTATCAACGCGAATGCTACTATACAGGGTAGCCGATCGAAAACGTACCGCAAGGCACCATCCAAAAACAGGTAAAGTTTGCTTCTGAGGGGGACAATTTTTGGCGCAAAAAGCATAGCAAAATCTTCAACCCCCTAAGTGGGGGTGCCATCCCCCAAATTTTTTTAAATGGGAATGGGGGTCAAGTGGGGGGTCATTAGAAAGGGCTTTTAATTCTCTATACATCGATTCTTACTTTTTGAAAATCGATCCATTATTTTAGAAAATATGCAGCTTTGAAAATACGAACAATATTTTTGACGAGAAATGCGAAAATCGATTTAATTTTACTTCAAAACTTACGGTATTAGCTTGGTAAATTCCTTCAAAAGAATTCGCTTTTTTTTTTTCTGATTTGCGAATTCTTTAGCCTGATTTTGGTGAGCAAAAAATTGTCCGCTTTTTGTTTCGTATTTAGATAGGCCACAAGAAGTTGCTAGATAACTGTCTTGTGACTTGTAGTTGAAGAGTACCAATACTGCCGAGTCTTTTAAATTGATTAATTATGGTGTACTCAATTCCAGAAAGAGTAGAAATTATTGAGCTTTTTTTCAAAAACAATGAATGCGGAAATCGGGTCGCCGAACTGTTCAACCAACGGCATCCTGAGAAACATGCGTCTGGAAAAATTGTTCGCGAATTGGTGGCCAAATTTCGCGAAACTGGCTCCGTTCATAACAAAAAGAGGCAGGTTGAAAATCCGGTACTAAATGAACCTACGGAAATAGCGGTATTGGGGCAAGTGGCAATGGATAGTACGCTGAGTACAATGCAATTGGCTACTGCGACAGGAGTGAGTCGTACAAGTGTCCAACGAATATTAAAAAAATACAAATTCCATCCTTATAAGATTCGGCTAGTGCAAGAGCTAAATGAAGACGATTTTGATCGTCGTTTGCAATTTTGCGAAATAATGACTGAACGAGCGATAAACGATAATTTCCTCTTTAATGTGTGTTTTTCGGACGAGTGTACGTTCTTCTTGAATGGTTTAGTGAATCGCCATAATTGTCGTTACTGGGCTGATACCAATCCAAGGATTTTCCATGAGACACACTCCCAACACCCCCAGAAGTTGAATGTATGGGCAGGTATTTTTGGAAATTCCATTGTAGGTCCTTTTTTCCTTCCTGGAAATTTGACAGGCGATATGTACTTGGATTTACTACAAAATGTCATCGACCCAGCTCTAACAAATATCATAGAGGACGACCCTGCTTACAATGAACACGAACTGATTTTCCAGCAAGACGGAGCTCCTCCACATTACTCGCTCAATGTGCGCAATTACCTAAATGAGACGTTTCCAGGACGCTGGATAGGACGAAGAGGTGCAATTGAGTGGCCCCCTCGGTCACCCGACTTAAATCCTTTAGATTTCTTTCTCTGGGGGCACATTAAAAGCAAAGTTTACAGCACTCCACCTGATACCTTGGAAGATCTGCGAGGACGAATCATTAATGTATGTCGCGAAGTAACACCGCAAGTGCTCCAGAATGTTCGACAACGGTTTGAAGACAACCTGTATCATTGTATGCAAGTTGGCGGACAACATTTTCAGCATTTACTTGACTAATACCGTAAGTTTTGAAGTAAAATTAAATCGATTTTCGCATTTCTCGTCAAAAATATTGTTCGTATTTTCAAAGCTGCATATTTTCTAAAATAATGAATCGATTTTCAAAAAGTAAGAATCGATGTATAGAGAATTAAAAGCCCTTTCTAATGACCCCCCACTTGACCCCCATTCCCATTTGAAAAAATTTAGGGGATAGCACCCCCACTTAGGGGGTTGAAGATTTTGGTATGCTTTTTGAGCCAAAAGTTGTCCCCCTCAGAAACTTTGACCTGTTTTGGATTTTGCCGAAAAGTTCTTTACTACCCTGTAATGCCTTGCGGTACGTTTTCGATGGGCTACCCTGTATATATTAATGTATTTAGAACACTGCTTTGTTGATATTTTGGGAGTTGTTAATATCTTTCTGAGATTTGATTGTTAAATACCCCTTCAAATTTGCAGAATATAAAGAGACAATTATATTTTTCTAAATATAAATGTCATTGAACTAGTAATATCAAAGATATTATGACTATTGTAATATATATTATGATATATAACTTCATAATTATTAAATACTTCCATTACTATGTAGTTTGTATCAAATTAAATAATATTATTAATTTTTATATGCAGTATCAATCACTAGAGAAATATTCATAAATTACCTACTTTTGACAGTTTTATATGTTGGAGTATTTTTCTAGTTTAGATTTCTAATCAACAGTTGTACATATGTACTAGATTTGCTCCTTTTAAATAAAAAAGATTTTCAAAACATTAAAATTTGTTAAGTTAATATTGATCAAAAACTAGTCATGACTGTTTCTTTTAAATAACAGAAATAATAAAAATAAATAATTAATTTAGAGAGAACATTGATATGCTACAGCGGTGGAGCAAGTACAGATGAATTTCATAATTTTATTTTAATAGTTAAAAGTTTATTGATTTTTACTTAATAGATATTTTACTTAATAAATATTTTCAGTCCCTGCCAGTTACTGACCGTGAAGTACTTTATGATCGAATTTTTATTAAAACAAACGTCGCCGTCGTAACAATAAATTTCTTGATTTCTTCGTTAGACGAAATTTAAAACAGTTTTGAAAAATATAGGACTATTTAAACTAATCAAAATAACATAATCTGGTCTACTCGGTACTCTTTATCAAAGACTCAATATATTTACATTGCTAAAATTGATGAAATCACATCTATATGTGATTATATTGTAATGTTAATCGTTATTGAAAAAATAATTATAAGTTATATAACTGATATAACAATACTAATAGGTCACACTGCGTTAAAATTAATAATGTCTTATCTTCTTCCACAACTGTTACGCCAGGTGTACCACAGGGTTCACACCTTGGCCTATGTTTGTTTTCATTATTTATAAACTATATTGAGCATTGCTTTTTGCGCACCAAATTTAATCTTTATGCGGATGATCTAAAAATGAATTGCAAAATTTCAAATTTAGCATAAATTATCTGTGTATATTGAGTTCTATTATTTTGTTTATAAGATGAGTCTAACAGGTTCAGTTCTGTAGAAGACCTAGTAAGTTTATATTCTAAATTACCTTTTGATTTATAGATTGAAGGTTACTGTAATTTTACATAATGTTTTGAACATAGTAGCAATTCTTTGATCTCTTACTGTTCATATAAGAACTAAATGAATTAGGGAACACATACCCCTAGTAAAAACAACAATAAAATAATAAAAGGACTTACTAAATTCTAGGGATTAATATTTAGTCGCAAAATCTTTAAAATAGTATATCAATGTATCCATAACGAATAGCTTACAAATTCTTTTTTATAGCTTGCAAATACTTAAAAATTACGTAATATCTGATGTAATTTTATTAAATTGCCCCAAAAGGCGATGTCATTAGGAAATATCTCTTTAATAAGATACTTAGAAATTCCAATTAAGGTTATAATATTAAATATTTTATTATCTTACGGAGGAACAAATAATTTGAAATTTATCTCAAGTATAGCTTCGAAGGGTTGGCCACCATTTTTTAGTATTGATATTGATAGAGTAAATCGTTTCGAATTTCATCAAATAGTGCAAAGCTTCAAGAAGCTGCTTTCTAAATACATATTCTTATTTCTTTATCTTCCTAATGTTCGCCTTATACATTTTATATTATGGCTTACAAATACAAATGTCTTACTAATTACTGATCAAACAATTTTTTTTTGGG